ATGCACCACGGGGACTCAGATTAGATCTCGCCATCCCTGGCGGGCTGCGATCTGTGATGTGAAACTGTCGCCACTTTCGAGGGCTGCTGGGGGGGCCCAGCGGAGTGAGGCCCCACGGGGAATCAGATTAGACCTCGCCATCTCTGGGGGGCGGCGATCTGCGAAATTGTCGCCACTTCCGAGGGCTGCTGGGGTGACCAGCGGAGTGAGCCCCCACGGGGACTCAGATTAGACCTCGCCATCGCTGGGGGGGGCTGCGATTTGCGAAATTATCGCCGGTTTCGAGGGCTGCTGGGGGGGCAGCGGAGTGGGGTATTCAGATTCGACCTCGCCATTCCTGGGGGACTGCGATTTGCGAAACCGTCGCCACTTTCGATGGCTGCTGGGGGGCCAGCGGAGTGGGTCCTACGCAGACTCAGGCTCGACTTCGCCATCCCCGAAGGGCTGCGATCTGCGAAACTGTCGCCACTTCCGAGGGCTGGTGGAGGGCCCAGCGGAGTGGGGACATATTCGGATTCAGGTTAGACCTCGCCATCGCTGGGGGGCTGCGATCTGCGAAATTGTCGCCAGTTTCGAGGGCTGCTGGGTGGCCCAGCGGAGTGACGTCATACGCGAGCCTGGGGCTTTAATCTTCGTTCTTTCGATCGTCGTCCTGTGAGCCGTGCAATGCGTGCGCATCCCATGTAGTTTGCACAGCAATTCACATCGCCTACATTATCGTTGTCTCTGCTAATGTTGGCCTACTCCTCTTGCCACTTGATGCACGTGGGTTGGGTACGTCGCAGGGTAATTAGTATTAGTAGCAGTAGTAGTAGTAGTAGTAGTAGTAGTAGTAGTAGTAGTAGTAGTAGTTGTAGTAGTAGTAGTAGTAGTAGTAGTAGTAGTAGTAGTAGTAGTAGTAGTAGTAGTAGTAGTAGTCGCAGCAGCAGTAGGTATTGTAGTAGTAATCGCGGTAATGATAGTAGTAGTAGTAGTAGTAGTAGTAGTAGTCGTATTAGTAGTAGTAGTAGTAGTAGTAGTAGCAGTAGTAGTAGTAGTAGTAGTAGTCGTAGTAGTAGTAGTAGTGGCAGTCGTAATAGTGGTAGTAGTAGTAGTAGTAGTAATCGTAGTAGTA